CCCCGCTCTCAGGTTTTGCATCAGGGTCTCGGGAGAGTGGGGGTGGGGTTTGAGATAGACACTGCAATATTGATAACCAGTGATGATTCAATCAACCATATTTGCCAGCTAGAAGCTCAAAGCTGTAATATCCCCCCACTCCTGTCCCCCTTTGGCTGCAGGATGCTATCACAGCCCAATTTTTTCTCAGTTCCCATATTTTTTTAGACACCTGGCGCGCTAACATATAAGCATTGCCAATTCACCAAAGCAAAACTTCTTTTTTTTAAATCTGTGGCATTAGTTTACTACATCTAAACAGAATAACTGAACGAAATATGAGCCTATCACCACCCTGAAAGACAAGCTTTGGACGAAAAGCATGAAATTCTGTGTGTCTGTAATGAGCCTATGGGTCTCCTGTTGTTTACTTGATATTCTGATTAACCGATGGTGTGGTCAGTTCAGGTCTGCCTGACTGGGTTTGTACACTAGTGAACCAATCGGCAGATTGTGGCTTTAAATCCATGATTTAATGTGGAGAATCCAGCTTACTGAATGACAGTTTAACTTGTGGCATTTTCACTTAGATGAAAGACCATGTCTCCATGGGGACAATGCTTATTCCGTAAGCAATATTCTTATTGTAGCACTGGCATATCGTAACAACGGAGTATTGCTGGAGGATGATTTGAAGCCTCACTCTACTTAAGCATCACCTGAATGTCATGACACATAAAACCCTCTAAATGAAAGAGGGGGCAGTCGGTTTCTTTTGCACATGACAGGAGCGCTTGGAAGCTGTGAACGGCGGCAGCGATTCCTGTAAGAGACCGTCCACCTCACCTTTGGACCTCCCCTTCTCTCCAGGTTTCCGGCAGCACGACGGGCTCCCCGGCCAGCTCTTCCGCCTCATCGACCTCATCCCGCCAGTACACACGGCAGCGCATCACTCGCGTCAACCTCAGGGACTTAATATTCTACATGGAGCAGGAAAGAGAGACCGCCCACTCGCTCCTCCTTTACCGTGCCCTGCTCAAGTAGCCTCCGCTCCGCTCAGCGCCCACCTCAACCTCCTCCTCCTCCTCCTTTCTCCCAGCCACGTGCCTTTAGATCAGGTCGAAGATTTCAGCTCTGTGTCTCCATATGTACTGTAGTGACGTTTGATGTAGCGCTTGGTGACAGGAAAGAGAGAGGGGTAGAAAAAGTACAAAAATCAAACAGTTGCTCTGTGCGCTCTCTGTTTAGCTTTCGAGGTGCGTAGTTAGATCATCGAATTTAAAGGCCATATCACATTCTCCATGTTGAACTTGTCCCAGGAAGGATGTCTTTATGTGGCAGGATTTGAACTTCCCGTACGCTCTGGCAACAGTTTGACATCGTTGGCAAAAGCTGCTCTATCAACCACCTAATGGAAAGGATTGCATTTGGCGAAGGAAAATTCACACCTTGATGTAGCCTCCCACTTTCCCCACAAGCTATTTGTTGAACTCAGTTCAATGAATGTAGTTTAGTCGAACTTAACAGACGAGACTTTTACAGATTTCTACGCCAACATTTCACTTTGAAACAGATTCCAAATAACAGCATCATGTTACATTTCCCAACTGTGTGTGTAAATAGTTCTTTTTGAATTCATTTACAGCATGTATATTTTTATCACAGGTAAGCTTTGTAAGAAAATGGAGTGAATCATGTGTCAATATTATAAAAGCTGATGTTTTGTAAAATCACGTTGCTTTCAAGGGGTCAAATTTAGACAGATTTTTCTGTAGAGTGTTGTTCTGAGGTGGACTCCCCCTGGCCCCCCTGCAGAGGTCATGGAAAAAAACCACGGCCGGCATGTGACACGTTTTTCCGATTGGCCACCCTTGTCGAGTGAGTCAGTATTTTTTTTTCTCTAAACGAACATATTGTGAACACTGCTTTTATGACTAGTTGTTTGGAGTTTGTGTCCTGCGGTATCCCACCCACATGCCAGTTTGAGGGGATAAGTTTTGTCCGTATTTGAAGTTAGGAGAGTAAAAAAAAAAAAAAGTACATTCCTTTATCTTCGACCCTTACTGTCCTACCTGTAAATCACTGATGTTTGAACAAAAGAAAAGAGAAAAAGTAGTCCACCTGCCGACTACCGCCCGCTCTTTCATGATGACTGAATAATGAAGGTAAAACATGACATGTTGTGGTGCACTGCACTTATTTATTTCAATTTTTAACCTTAATAAAAAAAGAAGACAGCTGTAAAGTTAAGTGGCATCTATGTAGAGAATCAGCTCTATTGTTTTAGCTGAAAACTGGTTGTTTCTTATCTTTTGTCCCTTTGTTTTTTACTAATTGAAGAAAACTGTTTTAAAAGCACTATTTTATGCATTGTCTTGTATTCTCACCCTTTTTTTAAAGTTTTTTTTTAAACTTACTGTTTTACATATTTTCACCCCCCATGCTTTATGTTTGTTGTCAATTTCTTGGCCTCTATGCAGCTTTTCTTTTCATACTGAAATTTATTTAAATATGGGTAACATTTAAAACAATTGTTTTGCATTATAAATTCTGACAGCACTTTTTTTTACTATCTATTTTACCTGGAATTTGAAAGCTGTCATTGTATCATAGCAAATAAATTAATCTTTTTATGTTACTGCCAATCTCTGTCAATAGGCTTTTTTTTCAACATTTAATATATTTCTTTCTTTTTTTATTTTTCCTTTTTTGAGATTGGCTATTATGCTTAATTGGAGTTGAGAAAAGAATTATCTCCTAAATATCAACAGACAAGCACAACACCTATTACGGTTATTTCAGATGGTTTTATTAATGATTTCTGTAGTTTCTGGTGGCTTCACAGGAGGACATTTATACTACTACTACTAATACAGCTTTTTAGCCAAAATTATAGGACAATATTCCTGACGGAAGTAACATTTCAATGTAAGGATGATTTGTAAATATTGTTTACAAAACTATGTGTTTATTAGAACCACGTTATTTTTGGTAAACTCTTGTACATATCTTGAGAATTTCCTGTTTGTGTGAAAGAAACAAAAATGACGTATTTGTACCTATTTTGTAAAGGAATAAAAAAACAACTGTTTACTAAAGTAAGTCAACACAGACTTTTTCCAGATTTTTTTAGGCACATCACAGAAAAAGGATTTGAGGATGGATCAAAAGAAATGTAAGTTTTACACCTCCACTTCAGAAAACTGATGTTTTATGATAATCTATCCATCTTGAGTTGTAAATGTATGCACTGCCTTGTTATATCCTCTTCTAACTACACAACACAATGAAAACCTCTTTGTGAAGGGATTCAAACCTATTGCTTGAGTTTTGCCCTTACTTAATTCAGGCTTTAAAGCTGTTTTTTTTGTCCTCGTATCACTCCAAATGTTTTAGTGGTAACAAACCTCGACACAGGAAGCAGTTCATTTAAACTCCCAGACTCCATTAAGAAAATGCTGTACCGATGTATTTCAGATTGTTGCTGTATTTATTTTGATCTTTTCCTTTTCTGAATAGAGCGAGCAGTCCCGGGAAAAAGAGGAAAACATCATCTGGATGGCGGTATGTGTTGTTCCAAACTGTGCCTATTTTGTTCCGCACTGATAATGCAACCACAGCTGTGTAATTTACCCCTGCCATATGCACTTACACACGCCCACGCATCATCAATGCCATAACTGTGCGCTGGTAACAAGAAGATGATCCCTCTGCTCTGTATTCCAGCGGAATCGAGTTGTCAGGATAGCAGGATTACATAGTTCCCATGTTTCATTCCTTCGTGCATGTGCGCAGAGCCTCCGTCCTTCTGTTTTCTTATCAGTGTTATGTTGTATTTCAACAGGCTTTGTCAAACCCAAGATTTAGCCCTAAACGAAACCTCCATTTTTATAAAACACTGACCAGGGTGTACGGCCTGCCTGTGAGCTAATTCAAGTGTTGTCCATTCAGTGAAAAACCACCAAGATCAAGGTTGTGAATAGAACAACTCCATGCACGTGATCTGATATTTAAAACTGACATCTTGAGGTGTAAGATCCTGAAGACCATGAGAGCAATGAGACACACTTCACTTATACAGTACATCCTTTTATTATCGCAAATATGCAAGAAAAGTCAAATGGAGACACTGTAAATGAACACATGCCCTTTAATACCACAGTTAAATTGTTTTAAACACTTTAAATAATATACATTTGCACCTTATTATACCCTTTGAAATGTTTTTTATCCATATGTACACAATGTAATGTTTTGAATTATTTTAATTATTTTTTTATGAAGAGGACTACAAGTTCTCTTAAAAACATGAGGGTTCCCTAAAACCCAGAGTCCTGATAATTCAATATACAGCTGTACAGGTGACGGGCCTCAGAGGTGGGTAGTATGCCATGTGGACTGGCTAAACACTGACCAACACTTCATTTGAAAACGGGGGCAGGGTGAGTATGTTGATGAAGTTTCCAGTCTTGTTTTTGTGGCTCTACAGTTAACCTGTCATTCCTATGCCAAGTCCAAGTGGGGTTCCCAATGTTGAGAATCGCGATCAGGGAGTTGCTTTTCCTTCGTCTGAATGTCCGAGTTCTCGTCAGTAATGCTATTTTTCAAATGTCTGGACGTTTTGTTTTTCTCTTCAACATATTTAAAAAGCTCTTTTTAAGCATTTCAAAGTGGCACATAAAGTGACAACCTGCCTGCACTTGTACTTTTCCACAAATTTCTGGTCTGGAAATAGCCCATATGGGATCTTCTCCGGTAACAAAAGTGTACAAAACATGTTGGGGTCAGCATCTGAGTGCTGTGCAGTGCGGCATGTTGTGTGTGTGTGTGTGTGTGTGTGTGTGTGTGTGTATTTTGACTCATCGGTTTGTTTGGTTTGTCGTGTTGTGGTCCGGCGAGCTGCGGCGTAGGAGGGCATTTTCAAAATCGGGCATGAGGAATGACACAGCAGCAGGGGGTGCAACCCCAGTTTCGAGTGGCACCACTGAGCATGGAGCCATCGGGGGGGAGGGAGGGGGGGGGGGGGGGGGGGGGTGCGCTGCGAAGAGCCCAACATGCCTCGGCACATGAAAAGCCTGGTCGACCATTCCCTTTGAGGCAACTGAATGCAAAGGCGCAGGGCACTGGCAGGTCAGAACAAACACTCTGGATTTGCAGCTACACGTCCACCAAGCCCTTCCTCACCCACTCACTGCTCCGGTTTAATCAGCAGCACGCCCCAAAGAAAGATGGATACGCTATCAGGACAACATGGACGGAACAATGGTTAATGTACAACTAAAGACAACACCAGTTTAACTCAAGCAACTGCCAGCACCCACAAAGATCAGTGTAGGCTTCTTTTTTTTTCTCCCCCCCCCCTCCCTCCTCCTCTCTGTCTTTTGGAATGGAAGAAACAGCATGTGTAAGTTCCACACAAATATAAAGCATGAAAACTTGGCCTTTCTTGTTTCTGTCTTTGATCCAGAAATGTTGAGAATAAGACAAAAAGAAAGAGAGCAGGACAGAGCAAATGCCACCCACTCGCCTCTTTGTGAACAACGCGCGGAGGGTGGGAACACAGTTCACTCTGGCTTCTACCCGTGCATGTGTGTGAAGAAGCGGTGGAATGATCTTGGCTTAGAAGTGACAGCATTAAACCAGAAGCTTTACTTCTCAAACTTGGTCTGAAGGTACTTTGAGCTTCTCTCAACAAAACTGTCAAGACTGGAGGCCTCGAGGATCAATTGTTGTTATCCTTCATACAGTTTTGAATAATGCATCGTGTCTTCTTTCTCTTGAAACTGCACAAAGAACATCTTTATATTTGTACAATCAACAAACAGGCACCGTATCTACTTTGGTACCTGGAGTGTTTGTTCTGCGGGACGTCTTTTTCTCCCCCCTGCTTTTGAAAGCTTTAATCTCACAGTCATAGATAAACAGCTTGACTTGTCTCTGCTGCGTTTTGAGGGAGCAGGGCCGGGCAGCTCTGTGGGAAATGTTTAAGTGCAAAGAAATATTAAGCATTTAAAGTACGTCTCTAGTTGATCAAGAGACATACTGGTAAACATCAGCTCTCCCCGCAGGTTCTCGGGTGTTTAACATTCTAACTCAGCCAAACTGCGGTACACTTACAACTTGTGCATTTGTGTCCTAAATGTCTTACTTACAAACGCTCTGAAAACTTGTGTGAGCAAATGAGTTGTGCTTATGTGCGAGAATCCAATCAGAGACCCAGATATGTTTTAGAGCTAATAAGCAGAAATTCTAGCATACATTTTTTTTTTTAAATCACATTTGACTATAAACAATGTCTAAGCATCCAGGTTTTTCTTCTATTCCCAAATGAACAATGGGACTTTTTCTGGCTCCGAATGCGTTGCCAGTCAGATTGCTTTAGCCACATAGCCTGCAGACATCTGAGTTTCTGCCGCTATTGCCAAGAAAAGCTCCCTTGCAAGCTCTCAAAGCCTAATGAATACAATGCTCATACATCCTTCATTTTGGAGAAAAAAAAAAAGACATTTAAAATAATCCTATTAATAACAATAACTGTTTACACCATGTCATGATAAAAACAGCAAAAGGGGCGAAAGAACATAGTTTCAAAACAACAATGAAAAACTGTAATAAACAATCAGTTTGGTAAAACAAAGCTGTGTAAGGCGAGGTCTATGGCCAGGCCTGTGGGAGAGGGCGATGCGATCTTGGGGTTGGGAGCCTTTTGTGGGACTTGCGAAATTAGATTACGTCCTCTGTCTTGCATCCTCGAAAACATCCCGTCTGTCACTGTCTCCTTGACCCACAGCAGGCCACTCGTCACCAGAGAGAAGACACGGAGCTCACAGTTACACTGTCACGTCTGGAAGGAGTGGTGGAGGTGGTGTGTAACGGGGTTGGAGCGGACCGAGGTTCAAGTAGGTGGAAGTTACATCCCTCAAAAAGATGAGGGACTTTTTCTTTTTTTCTTTTAATAAGATGTGGGAAAATCGACCAAAAATGGTGGGCTTTGAGCTGCTGTAGCATCCATTTGTCACTGTTGTTTTCACCATGGTCCCAGATTCTTTACGTATTATTTCACAAGATCAAAAACTTTTTGCTGCTGATGCTTTTTATTTCGTTGTTTGGTTCTACATTCCCCTTACAGTTCTGCAGAGTTTGGCGAGGTTATCAAGCCTCTGCTAATACTTAAGTATGCTGAGGGCGGCTGTGGACCTGCTAGAGCAGGAGTGGGGAAGAGGACAGTGGGATGTTCTGGTGTGAAAGGATGAAGGGGAGGCAGAGGGGAGGTGGGGGGGGTGTTGCCAGCCCCTCTTCCGGAAAGCTCTAGTCCAGAGGTTCCTGTTTTATCCTGATGGGTGTGTTCATGGAGAGGCTTCGTCGGTCCTCGCGGCACAACACATACTCGCTGAACTGAGACGAGTCCACTCCACCTCCGCATGAGGCTGCCACACTGAAACCCTTTTGGAAAAGACGCTCCAGAACCTGTGGAGTACGGAGAGAGGAAAGATATGAACAGACCAAACTTTTTCTCAGCTTTTATTTTTTTAATTAGAGATTTGTGCTGTGGTTAGCATCATCGCTTCACAGTAAGAAGGGGTTGTGGGTTCAGAACCCCCCAGAACTGGGGTGGGAACCAGGACCTTTCTGTGTGGAGTTTGCATGTTCTCCCTGTGTCTGTGTGGGTTCTCTCTGGGTTTCTCGTGCTTCCTCCTACCATCCCAAAACCTGCATGTTAGGTTGATTGGACATTCCAAACTGCCCTTAGGTGTGTGTGTGTGTGTGTCTATATGTGTGGCCCTGTGATGGACTGGTGGACCATCCAGGGTGTACCCCCATGACCCCCTTTGGCAATCAGTGGTTCAGAAAATAGATGGATGGATTATGCTAGAAGCAAGAAATTTACTGAGTTTACCGCTGAAAAGGATAAAATAGCTTGTCTGATTCTGTTTACAGATAATTTAACCTTTAATTGCTAATCATTATCTATCTTTAAAAAAAATGTATGGAAAGTGCAAAAAACAAGAAATGTTTGTGATTAAGCAGAGGTCACTTTTTCCTTTTTGGTCTAGTTCAATAAACAAAGATTGTACTAATTACTAAAATAATTCCAGACACATGATACATTTTGACATAGACAGCAAACTGTTTCATTCTTTTTCCAATTCTTAATAACAGAGCAACACTGAAAAATCGAAGTCACTATGAAGTCACCCTGTGGTTTCTGGATTACTGTTCTGAAGCCTAAACTTAATGGTGGCCCAAAGGCATCTTTTTTTTTTTTCAAAACAGATGTGACCATATTTGAAAAATAGGTTGGCCTAAAGAGTCCCTTATGGGGCATCAATACCAGCATTTGTGGCCTGATATCAAATTAAGTCTGAAATCATTTCAGAAGAAGAATCAGTGTAGTGATTAGAAGAAGGAAACTGACTTCTGGAGAAAAAGCGTTTAGTAAGAGAAGCCGGTCTACTGAAGCCAGCTGATTTTTGGGGGCAGCATCTACCCAACCTCACTGTCACTGCACTGGAATTATGCATTGGCTTTTCAGACCCTGTAGCTTCATCCATCTTTTGTACAAAGTATTTAGCTGTAACTTTGCTTAACCGTTTGCAGGAGGGGGCTTCGTATTTAGAATACACATATCAGAGGGACATTGATATTATACTACAACTCAAAGCAATCAAACAAACAAAATTTATTTCTAAAGTTGAAGTTCCTCAGATATTCATCAGTCACAACATGTACCATGTGTCATTAATCCCCCTCCCCTCCATCCAATCACACATAGTGATAAAAACCAGAGGGCACTCCAGACTTCACACCACCTCTGCAATATTCATGCAGCTTGTGCTAGATTGGCTACTGAACACAGGGCATGAGCTCAAAGGGATGTGGATAGCGGACTGTGAGCGGGGTGTGTTAGGGGCCTGAGTGGAGCTCAGCGTGGTGATTACTGGAGCTCCTAATTTGAGTAATGAGGCCGGGGTGAGAGGAGAAGTGAGGTCCGTGAGCAAAAGAGAGAGCGACGTGTGGGGAATGAGGATAAGGAGGGAGATACGGCCGATCTGAGAAAGGACAAAGTGTTAGAGCTGCGGGGAGGGAACAGAAGATTGGGATGCATGTTAGCCCTCCAGTCTGGGCATTGACACGTACTAGTCAAAACGGGAATAAGCGGAGATACAAACATATGAACTCCAACATCACCTCTTTCCTCGTCCGCTGTGTGCTGGAGACGGTTATTTATCGAAAATTTCAAAGACTTGTGCTGCGTATTTACTTATTCCTCCATCTATTTGATGGAGTGTGCGGCGCATGGAAATGAAAGGCCTTGCCAAGGGCTGACCCCTCAGCCAGATGCAGAGCCAGAGTGCTTCACACACAATTGAATGGTCCCTTTAGAAGTCCACACACGGCCACATTATCAAATATAGACTCATGATGAGGGATGACACAGGAGTGATAGCCCTGACTGGATTAAATGGGGTGCTATGACCTCCACACAAGCATCCGACCGCACCATTACACAATGTAGCAAACGCCAAGACCCCCACGAAAACATTCGTCTACCTTCTGATTAAAAATAAAACGTGGATTGACACAATGCTTGTAAGCAGAGAGGGCCACTTGGAAAAGTCTCCCCCCCTTACCCCCTCCTCCTCTCTGTCCTCTGGCCATAACGACGACAAAAAACTCTGTCATTTGTGAGACAGAAGGGGCGGCAGACAGCTGATGGTGAGGACGGCTAATTAAGAGACCTGCCCAAGCATCAAACACTCCCAAAACCTTGTCAGACGATGGAGGAGCCTAACGATTATGGAAATGATATTACATATCCTTCTTTGATCATTGCATCACATTGCATTTTCCCCCATCATCTCTTAACACATGTGGGACTCTGTCATGTTCGGCGATGAATTTGGTCACAGAGGAGAATGGGCTGATCAATAAAGATAGTCTGAAAACACTTTTATCATTAATGCACGGCACCACAAAAGACTTAAGGATATTATTATAGATGGTTGTAACTGACTCAAGGATACTGTAATGACGATAAGAGGCCATAAAAAACTTCCCGTTCAGTTTTGCCACGGGGGAATAAACAATACATGGAATAATTAAGCTGTTTCCAAGCAAAGGCTTTCAGTGTCCACAGGACAATGTCCTAAAATCAATCCCTTGCTGACAACAGAGAGAAATACACCCTTTAAAAAGCTGAAACATATTTGGCTGCTCAGTTCAGGACTACATGCTTGTGACTGCAGGCTGTCAGATTCCAGCTTATGTTGTACTTATGCAGATTTTCCTGCTTTCTTTTCTGCCTCACATTTAGCAAAGCAAAATTCCCAATGTTCTGTGTGTAATTAACTGTTTCCATAATATGGTATTAGTTAATTAGCAGCTGTCTGCTCCTTTCCATGTCAATTTCTTTAAGGCATGAACTTTTGACATCACAATCAATTCCGTTCTCCAAACAGGATATCCGATTCAAGCATTGCAGAGGAGATGACGATACTTAACCAAAAGACGGCAAGTTCATCAAGTATGTGCCCAACTTTTGTCTGTGTTCTGCCTGTGAGACTGAACGAAGCTGATTAAAATGTTCTGCTTACCCTTTCCATCCCCAGTGATGTGTAAGTGTTTGAAACAGGATAAACTATTCTTTTAACCTATCAGTAGGGGGATCTTCCTTCAAACAAGCATATCATTCTGTCAAACTGAAAGATTCTGCCACTCAGCTTGGGGTCGCTGTGGGGGGAGGAGGGCATCACTTTTATAACCCCCCCTCCCCTCCATCATCACAGCAAGGCACAGATCAAAGGGGATGAGTCTCAGGGTTGGAAACCGGAGCACAATGCAATATTGATGGCCACCAGAGCGTGCACACACACACACACACACTCACTCACTCACAGCACCTCTCAGGAGAAGCTGGAAGAGACTTGCTCCTCGTGGCACAGAGCTCCAAACTGATTGACACGTGTGACACGCTGAAATATGAGCTGGGCGCCGCACTCAGGGGGCCGCTTTTGTTTAACAATGTACAGTCTCGACGAGGAGCACCGACTGCAGCCTCTGCATCTCATCCCCTGCTTATCGCAGGCATCTGGCGCTAAACAGCCGTGAAGCTCCGGCTCTTTGTAATTCTCCCAGCCATCTGACAACTTCTTCAAAACTCGCAAGCAACAAAAACACTGACTGTGGAGCATTTTCCTACAGCTCTCCGAGCAGATAAAGCGCTCATCGCTGCAAGAAGGACACTTTAAAAGACCTGCAATTACCAAGATTCACCAGGGTTATATTTCCAGTAAGCACAATAACAAAGCAAAACATAACTATGGCAGCGTTTAAGCACAATTACCCTAACAGGGAGGCATTCTAAGTAAGGTCAGTCCTAAAAGAGACTGTAAGTGGATATGACTGACATGACGTACAAGACAATAGTTCACCACATGACTCACTCCATTATCTTTTGTGTCTGATTTCCAGTCACTTGATTGACTCTATAACATTACATTACAGGAGAGATTGTAATTTTGTTCTTAAGTCAAACAAAATTTTTCTTGATATGATTTGTGGTGGGATGAAATTATCCCTTAAATGTACAAAGAAGAGAATAACCATTAGTAATAACATTTAAGAAACAAGCCAACAAAACAATATGGTGCAAACTTTGGACTCTACAAAACACACACTGATGGCACTTAACTTTGCACCCATTTACCTGTAATCCATGTGGAATTTTACATTAGATATAGCTATTTTAATTGGTTTGTGAAAGAACCGGTTGGATCTTTTTTGTTCTCCCCCTGTGAATGCTCAGTTTCTCCTATGTATCACTTTTTGAAACATTTACTCACTACTTTATATAGATTTAAAAAAAGCTTTTCTGGCACCTTGCCAGCAGTCTGAAATATCCAGTTTTTATCCTCTGTACGCTGCCTCCTAATACGCTTCCTGTTGAGCCATGATGTTGTGCTGTACTCACTGAGCCACACTGTGAGCCCAGAGACCCCCAAACCGCAGCAGTATTAATGTCTCACTCTGCCACTCAGGCCGCTGAGGAGCACTGCTGCCGTGTTTGTGTGGCCTTGTCTGCTCCGATGAGCCGCGCTCTCTCTCTCTTTTTTCAGCCGGCTCAGGAGTGATGGAGTGGCAGCGTGACTTGTAAGAGAGTGTTGCAAGGTGTTGCGTTCCCCGCCCGGGCAGCAGGGGGACGGGAAGCCCTTCCCCAACGACCACGTCCGCTGTCACATTGATGAAGGACGGATTGGCTCTGCTCTGATCTGAGTGCTTCATCACGGTGATGTATGGGGCGGGCGGGCTCAGCCCCAGCATCAGGACACATGTGTGTGTACACCTCTGAGTCGTTTGCTAAAATGTTTTCCCTCTGTTCAATACCATTGCTTCTTTCTCATTCTCTGCCCTGGATCAACATCACAGCACAGGTGGTTTGCATTATCCCCAAAATTCCATTCATGACTGAACGGAGAATCTCTTGCCAAGGTGGAGCTGTTTATTCTCACTTTCTCCCATTTGGATGCACAAGAAAAAGAAAACTGAAAACTATAATAGTTAAAGTGCAGATATAATCTTTGCACTTCTTGCTATATAACATGATTAAAGGTGAGTAAATGGCATCAACAGAACATTCTTACTAGTATTTTACCATGACTGAGAGGAAAAATTGAGGCTTGGCAATTTATGTTGCTATTCTGGATTCCGTTCATTACTGATGTACCTTACATGACCAAAGTGTAATGCGGTCTAGCCCTTTCCACCCAGAGCAAAACCACAGAAGTATCTTAGATTTGTTTGATTTGAATAAATATCTCTGCCAATAATATACGTTCATAAGGAGTTTCTAGTTAATTAGCATGCATCCATCATCAAAAATCTGTCCTGAGTTCCAGTAAATATGCTTCGGAGAGCCCGAAATCTCGCCTATCAAACACATGCTGTTCTCTCTGCTCATCCTCATTGGGCAGGGTGTGGTTGTGTGTGTGTCCTGGGGTCGGGGTCCAGGCCCGAAATTAGATCTGAGGCTCTTTGTCTTGCAGGTAAGATGAGTGTTATTTTCCTAACATTCTCATACCTTCATGGAACAATGAGAGGACAGAATGAGCCGGTTAAAAAAAACAACAGCAAAACAGCCCAACACTCCTTACAATGAAAAACACCTCCATCTGTTCCATGCGTCTTCATCTACATCGACTCAATGAGCCGGGCCCACGCCGCTGTGCCTGCATATGTGTGTGCGGGTTTGATCATATTTTTAACAGATTGTTTTAGATTTCTGTGTCTTAAAGGGTCTGTACGTTCAAAAAAACAAAAAAAACAAATACAAAATGAGAGAATGCCTCAACTAATGCCACCTTAGCCAAGAGGCAGGAGAGAGCATTGCTTATAGGAAACCTCGAAGATCCACCTCTTCTTACTGGTAGCAGTTTATTCTGAAAAGAGGATTTCAGCTCACCTTGCCTTCAAAGGAGCAGCCTGATAATAAAAAAAAGAACTCTAAACGTTAAAGACTCTTTCCCGATTGTGTTCCATCAGATGAGCTCACATCCTGTAACCGCTCTCGCTGGTAAACAGAGTGGGGAAATGTTGTGTTAGTTGATGCGGCCAATTAATTATATTGTAAGTCATTTAAAAATCTATAAAAGAAGTATAAACTGGTTTAGGCTGTTTGAGAAATTGTAAGTATGGTATTAAAAAATGCAATACGTGTATTTCGATCGCCTCGGGCGGTGTTATATTGGAGTCTTTTTAAAAAAAAGGAGCTGTGTCTTAAAAAGGAGTAAAGCGTAAATTATGCATATCATTTTTCCCCCCTCACCATTCCTCTTCTTCATTTTTTTTTTTTTCGCAGGAAAAACATGGCCGCAGTCCACACGCGCTTTGTCCCGCCTGCTCGGCTCACCTCCCTGGAGGTGGTCTCTCACACTGGTGAGTGGGGGGGCGGTGGAGGTGTCAGAGCACACTAGTCTGCCTGGGAGAGGTGCTCTCTAGGTGCTGGAGGGCTGAAGGCTCCTCTATGTGTTAGTGTGTTCATGGCTGCGGGCCCCTCGAGTGTGTTACATCGAGCCTATGGTGTGAGACTGCTATGTTCCGCCTCGATCTCCCCTCTTCAGACCTCACTGGCTAACGCAACAGTAAAACTAGTTTTTCTGAAGTTGTTTTTAAACTCCTCAATGCCAGGATCTGCACTGATTTAACAAATACGAACGCTGCAGTCAGCTTATTCGGAAATAGGTAAAAGTTTTTAAGATTACATACGTTTATCTTTATATAATCGTCGGAATATGGGTGGAATGAAAGGAAAGGAAATTAAAATCTTGCTTCATCTACAAGTTTCTCCTAAAGGTCCAATTTTAGTCCTAAACTCCACAGATTTGGTACACCTGTATACTCTCTCGAGAGTAGCTCTTATCCCAGCTAGTGAACGCAATATAAAAAGGTCACAAATAATGCAAACTCCTTTAAAGTTGCAGACGCAACTGAAACGGGGACAAAGTCACCCCAACTCTACTCCCACAGCAGATGCTACCGTCTGTTATTCAGCAAGGCGACCATGTGTAGCCACAAACCGTCTGTTAGAACACACAGCGTACACTACCGATGCCAGCCAGGTGACAGAGTACATAAGTGTGGTGGTCAAACATCTGAAACACTGTGTTGAGTGAATCAAGTCTCTTTGATCCCATACTATGTCTGCAATGCCTCCAGTCTATGCATGTTTTTTGGTTGAACCAGACTGCTGCATATGTTAGGATGATATCACTTGTTACTGCGGTATTGAGGGTTTCTTCTTGTAGGAAACGTTAAGCTATCAGTTAACTTTATCTCCGAGCTGAATTGTGACTCAATAATCTCCAGTATAAAGTAAATCTGTGAGCCCAGAGCTCAACTGGTCTTTCCAACCTTCAAAACTATTATGGAAATCCAAGCATTCACCCATATTCACGGAACTATGATGCAAATTGAGATGCCATCAGAGAACTGCTTTGGTACTAGGACGCAACCCTTGTTTCTCTTGCCAAAACTCAAGTCCAGTACACAACCAGTCCATTCAGTAATAAATTCAATATTTTCTAAATTGACATATACTTAAGACAATGCATACAAAAGTTATTTGTACAGAAGATATAAACAGTAAACCTTTCTAAAATTGCTTACACAGCACAAAGACTTGGCTCTATCGCATGTATAACTCAAGTTAATACTGTTTTCCCTTAATGTTTGCAGTGTATTAAATGTACCAGATGCAGAATGGAGAGGTGTTTCAGGATCTCTAACCTTTAAAACAAACAAACAGAGGACAAGTGTTACCTGAACTGAGTTGAGCCTGCAGTAGCCGTTGAGAGGGAAGCGAATCACGTGCGTTGGGTCCTGGTTCCAGCCAGCGTTGACTGAGTTACACATAACGTCTCCAGTCTCAGGGAAGATCTCCTCTATGAGGACCTTTTCTCCGCTAAGGGCGATCCTCTCGCCGAGGTCGGGAGTCACTCGCACAACCAGGCAGTCGCAGGGCTGCGCCATCCGCCGCTGCTCGCGCTCCTGCTTCCAGCGCTCCAGCTCCTTGATCATGGGCGTTAGCTGGTAATAGCGGGCCTCCTCGTACAGCAGGTGGAAGTCCTGTGCACACATTTGAGCGTGGGGATGAGGACAGTGAGTTACAGTCATCTTAGCTCTGCGTGCAGTTAACACATCTTGCCTTTTACATTGTTTCACAAAGGTTACAGACACAAACCCAACACATTCTCCTGCAATGTCAGTAGAAGGTATGATTGTGCTTTAGGAGAATATTGTCGGTTTCCCTACAGCGGCTAATGATATCAATATCCTTGACCTAGACACTTCTCTAAATATTCCAGGAGTGCTGCTGAGCCTGTATCCATTCGTTGACACTTGTCCAGTAAAGGAACCTCAAACTATTCAGTACTGGTATACACAGAGAAATTAAATGATGCTGACTCAATTTACTGCAACATTTAATCATCTTCAGAGCCGAGGGAACGGAATAGAAATGAGTCTATGAGTGCAAAATTGAAGGCATTGTATCTAGTGTCCAATTAGGTTTTACATTTTGACAGAATAGTCAGAGCACTTGAGTTTTCTAGCCTCGGCGGAAAGTCCATCTAGCTACAAATCAGAAAAACATTCCCAATATAAATATTAAAATATGAGTTTAAGATATTAAAGATATTCAATGTCCACAAAACATATCGCGGTACACCCTCGGCAATGGCTTCCAACCAGCAGAACAACACTCTCAATAAACAAAGCAATGCCATGCTGCAGCTCTCCCCTACAGTAGCTCTTGGCAGAGCTGCTAGCCTTTAGCATCTTTTAGTGAGCTGTCTCCAGAAAGGCCGTCGCTGGAGCTCCAGCGAAGTGGGTTGGTGCATTCCAGAGTACCGACAGTCTGCAGCAGATTGCCTGCCTCTCCCTCCTGGGCAGTGCTTGCTGGGGGCCATTTGCCCCTGCGCTCTTGCCTCTAATTTCCCACAAGACCAGATGGTACCATCCCTCACCGCTACCACAGAAAATATGGGCAGGCGTACGGGAGGTGGAGAATAGATACTGGAAGCAGAAGGGAGGTGAGGGAAAGATGTGTGCAAGTGAACATGAGGACAATCATTAACCAAGGAGGATTATAATGTATTCCTCATATGGAGGGAGTTTTATGTTAATAGGGCTTGTGGCCCCATGTTAAGCTCCTATTAAAACAAGATCTAATTAGGTTACACCTAAATACTGCTAATCTTTTCGCTAAACAATTAGTAATTAAAACATCTGTGCTCTGATTAGAGTCTTCCAGTGAAAAAGAATGACAGCTTTATCCATTTATTGTTTGTAAGCTGTCAAAAAAATGTCTTTCATGATTTCTTTGTTGCTGATCTCTTGACGCACAGATACAATAAAACTGTGGCAAACAGACTTATTTGGGAATTTAGCTAAATGATACACATAGGGTACACTATTCTGGAAAAATGACATTAATAAGTCTCCTACAGCCTGCATCATTTGTGGTTGTGGATGTTAGGAGGCACAGCTGCCAGGAGAGATTTTTCCATTTTCCTTTACCTGGCCACTGTTGGGCAGCAAACAGCAAGATAATTAACCCTGAAAAGGACCCTCCATACTGTTTAATCTAAAATCAGCATGTAAACAACACCCAAATACAAACCCATCTGGATGCAGCGTCAGTGCAACAAATCTTAAACTGATAGTCTAATATTTAGGTTTTCAGGATGCAAAAGAGGTGGGGGTGTAGATCCTTTTTGCCTTTTTTGTTTCCCTTTCTACATGTTTTTTTCTTTCTTTCTCCTGGCCTTCTTGCTCCAGCTGACAAAACTCATAGTGAGACGACCCCCTTCAGGCAGCTCTCTGTATCAAAGTGGAGCTCCTCATCCTTCACAGGTCTGAAACCATGGATGGATATGTTTTTAACAGGGGTCTGTCTGCGAGGCACTTTAGTCATCCCGAGCAGCACGGAAAACAACAGAGTAATCCTAAGCGCTGAGGTGAGGATGAGAGGGAGACAGGGCCAACAGCTCCGTCCTGCTTGCTGAAGATGCTTCTACTTGCTGCCAGCTCTATGAGACAATTCATCCCCCAATCCTAGGTCCAGGCAGCCCATTTGAGCTTCAAAATAATGATCCGAGCCGATCGGCCAACGGCAAGGCAACATTTCAGGGAAGGACAGGGGGAAGGAGAGACAGAAAATAGACAAGAAAGAGAAGGAAATTGTGGAAAATGTCATGATGTGGAGTTGGAGCACTAATAGAGACCTACTGTATGTTTTTAGACCCAAAAACCACACCAGTGCATGCTTGCAGGTTGTTGATTAAAGAAACCAATGGAAAAAAAAATCCAGCCAACTCCTATAAAACATAGTGTTGTAAATAAGAAAAAGAAACATCATCTCTATCTCATACATAAAGGGAGAATCGATGTGTGATACATCAACCTGAATAATCCGAAATCTCTCACCAGTTTAAAACCATGCCCTCAGTGTGACTGAACATTGCTTACACTCTGGTGATTAATAGTCGTTTGAATAATAAGATGAGGGAGGATATTAATAGTGAATATTTTGTTCCACTGATGCAGGCTGAAAAAAAAATTATTTTCCTATTCTGCTCAGAGTTTCACATTGATTTAGCAAAACACACAGCGCCGCGGCTGCCAGCAGCAGAACAGACCCAGCCCTGGGGCGACGGCAAGCCTGATTGTGTTCGGATAAGGACATGCTCAATTCTGCCTTGCACTATTTGCATTTTTTTTCCTCTGGCTTCACGCAAATTGAAAGGTATGCAGATCAACACAGGCTTATGTGAGTGGGTCGTAATGACTCGAAACAATGAAGTCCGTTGCATTCTCCTCGACCGCGGAACCTGATTGGACTGTCAAGACTTCACAGAACGCGGAGGGAAGTGCGAATGGAAAAGGGGAAAACTAATCGGTTCTGAGTCAGACAGCCATTTGCCAAAATATGCGGGCCTTTCATGCCATGTTGTGTTCTCTGAGGTTTGGCTCTTCCTCTAACTATACGTGGGGCCCAGAGAGTTTGCCCCTGGCTCTGACTGGATTTGCCTGGCCTTGTTACCTTGCGGGGAATGATGAACAAGCACCAGCCCAGTGAAAAAAGGTCACACAAGCTAAGGTGGAGAAGACATAAAAAGTAGAATACACTTAGGAAACAATATCAACACATGAAAACCTTGACAATGACTGAGCTGGAGGCAGAATGTGTAATCATTCTTACAAAGCCACACATAATTGTGTGCATACTTGTTGGCTGGGACTAATTCCCCTCTAAAGCCCAAAATACACGTGTTACCTTTAAAACGGGAGTGCATTGATCATATAATCCACAATCCAGAATTAACACCCAACTCTGCAGTGCTCTGGGAGGCATTTTAGTAGCTTTCAGCTCATTGTTTGATTTGAGCAGTTTTAGTCCATCCATACCATTCTCATCAGCCTAATTTTCTGCAGCACCAGTCAGCTTTTTCAGCGAAAAACTTATGATATGCCAACCAAATGCTTCCTGGCCAGAAACAAACGGCAGGCCAACTTAGTTATCTCCGAGCTGGCAACCACAGTGAAGCACTTAGCAGCTGAAGAGACAGATATTCTAAACATACTGAATGAGCACTGGGCAATTGGGCAGAAACACATCCAGAAACACGGATAAGCTCTAATACTACTCTGTGGATAAACTTTGTGAAAACATTTGCCGTATACAAAGCTGAAGCTGTCTCTAACACACACATGTAATATGAGTAATACAAAACATGAAAATTTGCCACAATGCCAAAAAACTTTAGCCTAGTTTTATGTAGCCTTTTTCTCTTCTTGCAAAGACTTCAGGATGTGTGCACTGGACATATATGAAGACACATCAGGCCAGCAGGTTTTAAACTGTTCTAACACTGAACACTTTTACGTGCAAGACCTTGACTTTGTCATGCCACTCTGTTGGCGTTGTGGTTGTTCACCTGAACGCAGCTCAGCACAGGAGCAAAAAGGGGATCTCACCTGGGCTTCTTCTTAGAAATAGTTCAGAATGAAAAACAACAGCTCAGGGCTCTGGCATGCACAACACCAGGCCATGCTCCAATTAGCCACTTCGCATTTTACCTCTCCACTACTTTAGACTCCAGCTGAGTCATGTTTCTCTTCCTATCTCTCTGTACCTCTCTAATTAGTGCTTATCCATATACTACTTGTGATTAATGAGCTGGATATGGAAGGGCATTAGAAAAACACAACATACAGGAAAAACTTCTGGAAAAAAAAACATGCCATTGATGAGAATATATTAGAAAAGAGAAAATAACTGAAATTAACAGGAACTAAAATTACTTTAACCATATGGCCTCACATCCTCATGATTTCTACGCTGCTATGTTTAAGGTGGGTACACACAACACACTATGCCGGAGAGAGATTTTATACCTTGAAGTCATCTGGAAGGAGCAATTTGCTGGTCCTCAGGAAACTGAGAATGTAGCGGAATATCTCGCCGTCCCGATCTATGAAGTAGTGCTGCTTCAAGCTGTCCAACACGATGGGCTCGGTGCCATTGAACAGACGACTGATTCTGAAAATTGAAGCACACACAAACACACGCACGCATGCACACAGGCAGCCATACACACACACACACACAACCATATAATGGAATGAGCCAGCTTCCTCCAAATGCATGAAACAATTACCCTCCATTTATTTTTCAATTTTATTAGCACTAAGCTTGAAATGCATTAGCATCCCAGGTTGAAACAAGGGGCTTAAGGCGCAGTTCCACCATTCCAGACTTGTTTGAAGTGTCCCTTTTGCAGGGAGATTACAACAACACACACGTGCTTGCTGCTTGTACTTACAGAAATTAATAGCATGAATGTAGCATTACAGCTCAATTATTCCATCTGTCAGAAGGGTGGAAATGTAACAGAGGAAGGAAATGGGGAAGGGCCACATGTTAATGTGAGGGGAACGTTTCAAAAAAGGGGATTTTACTCTTACAGTTTAACTCTGTTATGAATTTATGAGAACTTTAGACAGCTCAATTATATCCTCCACATGCTGCACTCTGTTTATGTGAGAGATGATCTCAAAACATAATTTTGCCGACGTAAGAACAGTTTCCTTTGATGATGTGGAGATGAATTAATGACTTTGTGTAAAACTATACTTAAGCATCTGAATGCTTTGAAGCTTTCTCGGAAATAAGTGTTGAACCGACTCTGATGCCGCGACAATTAAGGTTAAAAAAAAAAAAACATTGTATGTGCAGGTCATATGAGCACAAAAAAAATCTAAATTTTAAGGTATTTGTTTCCATTTAAACAAACAGCCATAATCTGAGAAATAACTACTGCAAATATAATGATAATGGCATTACTCATAATTACAGCAATAATGTTTTCAAATGAAAAATCCTCATAATTAATAAGTAAAAAGCTGTGTTTAAATGAAGGCTTTTAAGTTTTTCACTGAATACTAACAAATATTTGCCGTCTTAATAAGACACTTGTTGCTGACTAGTGTTTTATTTAACCCCTTCCAGTGGTGTACGTCAAGATTGAGAGCTTATTTGATCTTGGCCAGAGGGGCTCATCAAGGCAAAGAGTGGAAATTGCTAATATCTTTAAACTTTTATCGCACTGTGTTTTTACAGTGCCTCAAGACACCCTTGGACAGATATTCATTTCCCCTTGTCTTTATGTGGGTTCCCTCCTGCTTACCTCCAGGTTCATTTCTCACTAGTCTAATAATCTCAACTGAGCACCTCCACTTTGTCTGTTTGTCCATTACCAAATACCGAAGATCCCTCTTTGAAAATGAAAAATAACACTTTAGCATGTGTGAAATATTTAGAATGCCGCTGATTGTATGCTCTTAAACTTTCCAAAGCCTGAAATCAATAGCGGGCATGTTTCTGAGAAACAGAGATCGTATATTTCTGCACGGCTTAAATAAGCCTTACTACTCATTTACTCAAAAACAAAAAAAAGTCTGCTCATAACCATTTTTACAAATTCCCTGCACATTTTCGGCACGTCTCACAGAGAAACAGCTCTTGGCGGTGCGCCGGGTTGTCGTTATTATCATTTTGAGGTAATCAGCGTTTAAATCACAGCTTTAAGGTTGGCTGACAAAGTTGGGTGACAGAGAGAATCATAAAACCTATTTGCAAACACGCCGACCAGGCTGAGCGTTTGCGTTGTCAAACTCTATTACAAGACAGTGAGAGAGAGCTGTAGTAGGAATGTCAATGAACAAACAGCACGACTGATTTCTCCCACAAGCTCACTTTGGTGAATTTGCAACAAGCTTGTATTTAATGGCTGTAGCTTTCTGACCCCGATAGGTTGGCACAACATGCTTAAGCTATCAAGTCAAATTGGCTTCGTAGATTTCCTTTGACTTGACTGTGTAAAGGCACAAATATGGCCCTCCCTCCCTTTCTGACATCCTCTCTCTCCTTCACTCTCTCTGTCTATTTGTCTTTCTTTCTTTCTTTTTTTCTTTCTCTCTTTCTCTCCCTCCGTCTCCATCCCACTGCCTTACTCGCTTTCTCTCTGGAAATCGATGCAAAATGCTTTATAAAAAACCAATACTCATCTCCCTGTTTTGCCTGAGGTGTTCCTTTCTCATATGGTCTTGCAATTCTTCCAGCTAGAATTTCACCATACCCCTCCGGGCTAACTCTGTTTTTCATCTCCACTTTTTTAAAAAGCAATTAAAATGCTGCCTGTTTTTCTTTTTCTTTCCCTCTCCTCCACTCCCTTCTCACTCCCTGTTCCTTTTCTCTGTTGGTCTCCTCATTTCCCCCCTTTCTGTTAAATCCCTGAATTGGAGGGGGGATTGTTATTAACAGGTAGGCTGAGGGAGAAATGAGTGTGGGGGTGGGGTGGGAGCTCCTGGACGGGGGTGCGGAGAGAAATTAAGAGACAAGATACACAAACAGAAAGGCCAGGAGAAAAACAGAACGCTGGGGATGGGCAAAGACAAAGGGAGAAATCGGGAGCAGAACAAGAGGAAAAAGAGAAAGAAAGAAACTGAATATAGGGGAAAGTTAGAGTCGGATGGAGTGGGAGAGAATAAGATCAGACATGGCAGCGGAACTTAATAGAAGAGAAAGAGGGAAAGAAAGGTAGGTGTTGGATGTTTGAGGTTACTAAGGACGGGAGCAAGCTCCCACCTCTGAGGTAGCGAGCGGCAAAATCTAGCAGCAACCTACAGGAAGTGAACATTTTCTGATGATGTGACATGGACCCGGCCGAGGTGCTGTGTAGAAACTATATCCACTAATGGACACAAATGAAAGCACCCAGCAGCTTCCACAGGAGTGAAACAAACACACCCAAGGATCTTGGTGAGCTTGTCTAGTCTGACATCAAAGGCTGCCCATGTTGACTTCTGAGGAGGGAAAGTCAAATGAAAAGAACTCAAAAGCAGAACATTACAGTCCCAGGCTCCAACTGAATGCTCCTGAAATAGGCTCCCCACCAAAAAAAGTGACTAACGAACACAACAAACATTTTCTTGCTGTTGTGGGGTCCCATGGAAATGCTCAGAGTTTCAATCAAGCTCCTAATGTCTTTCCAGCTTTCCATATCCACCCAAGCTGTGGCTCAAACTAACAAATCTTAAATTTGCCTTTTGAGGCTTTGATTTTTGATCAAATCGGGCTGATTTGTTTTGTCTTCTCCTCGATTCCCTAACTTTCCAAACACGAGCAGATACTTGGAGAACTCTGACACTGGCAACGTGATTTGACAACAATGACTACATTCATGTGAAATGAATCTTTTCATCCGTCTGAGTTCATCTTTCAGGAAAGTAAACCAGAAGGAGACTTTAGAGTTAAGCACAGTCTATCAACTGTAGCCACGAAAGGCTCATCTTCAAGGAGACAAATGTCCAGTGTTCCATTGAAAATAGTTTCCTTGTCTCTGCAACATTTCCACTAATTCCCTCAGCTTCTGCTCAAGTGACTGCTCAGACTGTCCCTTCTGAGAGCTACACAGAGTGCACATCAATGTTTCATGACCCTTGTCCCTTAATATGGCCCACACCGAAGAAGATGAATAGCCGCACATTAGTTACTAGACTAACTTTCTCTTGGCATGCTGCATTATTTAGGGGCCAATCTATTAAAAGTAATCAGCGACTTCAAACTCTTTAGCCCTGCTCTCTCAGATGTCACGTTTCCAGCCTCACCCGCATGCCCTGTGCGACCGGACGTGGCTGAACGCGGACACATGGTTATGCCAGTGTAATTGTTTTGCTTTCTGCTGTCAGCCATTATCCTAATTCACACAAAAGGGCCCCTCCTTCCACTGGTTTCAGTGGAAAGTGGAGCCCTGAGGCCAACTGTACGCCGAGGAGGCTGGGAGAGTGAGAGAAACAGCCAGTGTGTTTGTGTGTGTGTGTGTGTGTGTGTGTGTGTGTGAGGGAGAGAGATACAGGGTGAAAAAGAAACAGTAAGAGACAGATAGAAAGAGAGAAGGCAGAGAGAGAAGGAGCAAAGGAGCATGTGTGAAAAAATGGGAGAAAAAGAAAAGAACACTCCAACCAACTCACACTGATATGCAGTCTCCACTCACACTGTGAAAACACTGTTTAGATGCTCTGACATGGCTCTATGTTGCATTTGCACGGTGCCCTGTGTGTGTGTGTGTGTGTGTGTGTGTGTGTGTCGCTCCCTGAATAACTTCTTTGTAAAGTGTAAAGCTACACCATGTTTTTCTTCTTTTTTTTTTTAAAGCAAGGAACACAGCAGCGAAACACAAAAAAGCTAATTTATGTGATGCTTTCACCTTTTTACGGGGGAAAAAACAATATAACCCTGAGCAGAAAATCCTCTTAATTACAAAAACAACATGAAACCCTTGTCTGGGTTTGAGCTTTATTTTTGTCATGATATGTCACACAGGGAGGGAGTGAAAGGGAGAATTGTGAGGGATTTCCTGTCAGCGGACTCTATGAATATCAAGATTTTATTACCAAGGGATTACATGGATTGTTTCCTGTAGCCAATTTGGCAGATTTTCTGGCGTATGTTTACCTTTTCCCACATGGGATTCAGCTGACGCAGAACTGAGGATGCTGTAATGTAATGACTGACACTGTGCATTAGACATAAAATGCGGAGCGCCAAACCATAAGGGAAAAAAAATTCAAGCCAGTGGGGGATATACTGTTGATGTTTTAGCATTCATTTTGTTAGCTTTCTAAGCCACCTGTGGTAGTGTCATTTTGTTAGTGGAGGGAGCTAAAAATGTGGAAAAAGAAGTGGGAGGATGAGCTACAATCAACTCTTGCACAATCTGAATCATCATGACTAAATCTTACAAGCGGAAATGCATGATTAATATGCTTGCTTTATTTGTGGGTGGGGGAGTATTGCTATCAGATGTTTGAAAGTGTTAAGGGCTTCTTCTTTTCCTGTTCATGAGAATTTCAGGGAACATGAAGTCACTGTTCAAGCTAAAACCATTTTAAAGATTCACCGCAATAAACATAATGTGTATTTTAAGCATCTGTTGCAATCAACTGAAAGTGAAGGTATCAGGTAGGCAAGTGGAAGATGGTTGAAAACAAATAAACTGATTACAATCCTTCACAAAATATGGATATGTCTCAAAGGTAACACACTAGTGGTAAAATATCTTAAAAAAGAACTTCAGAAAGTCAACATGTCACACGCCAGTGCACTAGATTTAATGTGGCCTACAAAGGTTCTTGGACATTAATGTAATGGGATTCTGTTCAGAATACTGAAACAAAAAGAGAGACAAACAAAAAACTAATTTAAAAAAGGTAAAGAATGTGAGAAGAGGCAGGTGCAAAAACTATGGACATGGCTCATGACATTAATAGAGAAACATATGAAAAGTACTGTACAGCAGCTGAATTCTCCATCTGAGCCATGTGGTGGGAGATAAAGAAAAAGCCTCCGAGGTATTTAATAAACAATTAAAATAATCATCGCTGAAGCAAACTAAATCAATCAAATTCTCGGTTTTAAAGCTTTGGGGAGTTCAGAAAGGGAGAAAATATCCCCACATGGTTTGGAAAGATAGACTGATTTCACCAGAAAAAAAAAAGTTGTAGTGCAGTTGTCTCACTGTCATCAGACTTAATCTCACAAAAACAACTAGACTTAATTAAGACCTGCACCACCTGAGCCCACATGGCCAATTTACTGGTTAAATGAAATATACTTTTACATCAGCTGATATACATTTTCTTGAAATCCCCAAGAAAATGTTTATCGTTACTAAGTTAATTTTAATAATTTAAGATTCAAAACAAAAGCATCATTCAAACAGAATCCTCAGTTTGTTAGTATTTAATAATTAATTATGACCTCAAAATTAGATAAATATTAAAAATAAAAAGACTAAACGTATTTTGGAAAAATATTATATTTTGGAAAACCCACAAAAACCTGAGAAAAAGCCCGGGGCTGAGTCTTACCGTGAGTCTGGGTACTTGGTGAGGGTGGCCAGGCTGCTGGTGTACATGTGCCCCCCGACGTCGATGTGCACCGGGGCGTTCGCCTTGGTCAGCTGAGCCGGCAGAGGGATCCCCTGCGCGGCCAGAGGAGAGACCGGGGACCGTGTCAGAGACAGCCGTGACATGCTTCTTCCCTCCTGAAAGCAAGTGTAGAGAAAAGCCATGGGAGTGTGGGTAAAGTATATGGGACGAGAGCAAGATGTGGTGGTCCTAAACGGGGGAGCAGACTGTATCCTTCTTGAACGGTATCAGATCACTTCCATGTCTGTCTGGTCGCATATTTAGCCTGGAAATTATTGCCACCACTCTAATTAAGTATGTTTGCATCTTTTCATGCAGCACCGCAGGCGTGGATAGGAGGATGCTTATTAGAGAACAAGGCAGAGAGAGAGAGATAGACAGATAGAAAAGAAAGACAGAGAGAGAGAAAGAGAGAGAGCGAGAGAGAATGGGGGGGTTGGGGCGGGGGTGACAGTGGTGGTGGTGGGGGGTGATGCTAGGTGTCAGCCTTCAGGGGGATAAAATAAACTGCTGCTGCAATATTCTAATTAAAGGTCGCCTTATGTGTTAGACGTGATGCGCCTAGACACTACAACCGCCAATCTGAGAGCAAGCAAAAATACGGCGGGGTGGGGGTGAGGGGGTGAAGGGGGGCGAGGGGGGAGTGGAACTTTTCCTCTACAACACATTCACACACTTTCAACAAACGAAAAAAAAAGATTAAGGTGATAGCTTGTAGGCACCGAGCGTGCGTAAAAACGCACCAGAGGTCTTTGGTGCGCACAGGGAGCCGCACACCGACAGGCCTCTGCACGGAATGACCCACTCCGCATGTACGCCGAGGGTTAGAGTCAGGACTTAAAACGTTTCAAACGATCTCACAAAAAGGAGAGAGAAAACCTCGGGGGAAGGCTCTGGTTTGGAGTCCGGGTTTTACTAGGGGCGCACGTGGTCTGAGCGCAAAAGCTTGGTTTTGATTAACCGATTACATGTTTCAGAAAATATTTTTTGGGACTCCTTTACGCCGCCATTTGATTCCACTCCGCCTCTGGTGGAGCGAGGTAGTTGCTGGTGTGTGATGTGTTTGCCAGCAACGGCAGGTAAACCACCTAACCTCAGTGTGGTCACGTTTTAATGTGACCCAACATGCTCCTCTGTGTTCCAGAACACAGTAACTGATTGAAGAAATGTGTGGACTTGGACTTTTGAAGAACCTAAACAAATACGCTCTGTTGTAAACTTTCATAATTTCTTTAAATAAGGCAGGTTGCACTATAAGAAAAATCCCACTTCCTCCCAATTTGAAGACTATTCTGAAAGTCCAGATTACCCCCGTGGCTCTTAAAGATCTGCCCTCAGGCGCCAAGCAAGACAGGGCCGTTTTTTATTTCCAGGCTGGTGCCCTTCCCACGGCAGTATCGCATGATTTTATACGATTACAGGCAGTTGGGTTTACGTTTCAAATCCCGAGTAAAGAGTGGGGGAAAAAACTTGGAAAGACTTGAAAGTTTTGGTCACACACACACACACACACACACGGGCCTGTCCCACAGCCGGTATCCCTTTCCATCCCACCTACCCACCCAACCAGTTCAGCACATGGACACAGCATATAGGACATTTGGAAATCAACAAATGCAAAAAAAATTAAAAGAAATACAAAACAAAAATAGACAGAACTCCCAAACACACTACCATTTCATTTTTCTGTCTGATCTCCATAACTGCCCAAACAAGAGGAGACAGACAAACATGCAGAGACTCACACCAACACACAAGTACAGGGCAGGTTTCTACACAAAATCTCAGCAGCAAAAGGCATCAACTTTCCCATCAGATCTGCCGTCTTTTCGCCCCCATCCAGTGACCCCTGCCTGCTCAGACACAGAGGCTGGTCCCACGTCTAACCGGCTGACATCCGCACAACCCCCCCCCACTCCTCAATGCCCGAGCGTCGTCAAAGGCTTTTTCAAAAAGAAAGAAATTAGACACGCAGAAATAATGTTCGCCAAAATCAACTGTTCGACACCCCACTCTGCGAACAAGCCCACAAGCCTGCGCTCTGCCTTTAATCTACCAAATGCTCAACATGGCGTCTTATTCTTGCTGTACAATTAAAACCATAACCTCGACACGTGTAATTCTGAACCCGATTTAATTGAACATATACGTGTTAAATGTGATCGGACAGAAAATGCGAATAACTCATCTGAGGTAGCAGTCAGACACACAGTTTCTTCAACTACGCTTTTTTTATATGAGGAGGAAAAAGAAAAAAAAAACTGTGCCCACTAAGCCCTTACACTTTGCGTAAAAAAACTGTGATTCTGTAAGGTTAGATTTTTCCCCTACCGTTTCAAACATTGTAGGGATCCAAAGGAAATCCGCGCCGGCGGTCAGTCCCAGCTGCTGTCCGCGTAACCCCGAAAATATTTTCTCCAAATGCCCCCCGAGTTTCTGTTGAAACTACAACGCCATCCAGCTCCGGCACGAACCGTTCTGCCTCACGGAAAAAGCTAAATCTTTCCTCCGCGTCCCACACAAAACTGCCTTTTTTCGCATAAAGACACTATGGACTGTGTCGGGATCGACTGCTTGCAAAGAGTCCCTGTGGCTTTAAAGGCTCTATTGCAAGGCTGCCTCGACCTGTCCTCACCAAGCTTCTTTGTACCAAAGCGCACAGGAAGCGTCCTTACCTTGTACATAGATGAGATGATCTCCTTCCCCTTCTCTGCTCTTATTGGGATACGCGTAAAATGTGCGCTCTTGTTGGGATCCTGCTTCGTTTTTTCTGCCTCTTGTCTGTCTTTTTGCCTAAATGAAACTGCCCCTGTGGTTTGTTATGAGAGGAAGAAAGCCAATAATCCTTCTCTAAATAACAGAGCGGAGCTAAAAAAGAAAATTCTTGCTTCGGGCTGCCCAAGCGCCTCTGGGCCAGGGATTAGGCTACAATTAGCTCAACTCCACTCTCTCGCCTAGGCAATTTTCTCAAGGAAGAGAACGTGATACCCCCCTATTCCTGAAATTATGACTACTCAGATATTATAACTTATCTCGAATTTTACGGCAAAAGTAGACTGTTCCTCGTAACGGTGTGAAGTTCTGACTCGGAGGGGGTAGAAACCTAACAGGCAAGTGTCGCTGAGTAGATTCAGATTTAGATTTAGCAGATTTTAATCATTGTCATTTCGTCTGATGTAATAGTTCCTCGGGCGGTCCAGCTAGTAGGAATACATTTCCATCTCCAGACTGAATTTAAAGTTTAAAGTCAAGCGGGCAGCCATAGTCTTCCACTCAGGCAAACCATAATAAAGACGGAAGAACTTGTTGATAAAGTCTCAGGAAAAGAAAAAACATGTTAAAATGAAGCGATATCCTTGAACCAATATCTTTGATGCGGTGATTCTTTCCCCCCCCAGTGTTCCCGCTCTCTCCCTCTCCCTCTCTCTCTCTGTCTTGCCTTAATGTCTGGAGTTGTAACGCCAAATTTCCTGTAGGCCATTAAAATCAAATGACGTCTATGGACATGCATGCATGCTGCTGCAAAAAGCGCCCTCACAGCCTGCCTGCAGCCAAATGCGCCATTTCAATTATAGCGCAGGGCTTAGATGGAGATATCTGCACAGAACACCCCCTCCTCCTCCCCCCCTTCTCCTCTTCCTCCTCCTCACTCCCCCGGTGGAAGCAGGCAGCCTCCAGACTTTTTTTTTTTTTTTTTGAGGAGAAGAAGGTTGTGGATGATTATTGTTATTTTCCAATACGGGATGACACAATGCGAGCGCCGGAGCGCAGAAGTGTTGCGCCACTTTCGCAGAAATAAATAAATAAATAAATAAAAAGAGGGGGAAAAGGGGAGTCAGGCAGGTGCTGCTCACACCGAGGAGAGACGCTTACTTATTTATTTGCGTGTTTGTTTATTTGCGGGTAAATAACTGTGAATAATTGATGCAACATTGAGCCAGTAATTACCCCATACCAGCATCCTGAGAGGCACAGCTCCCGTTTCTTGATATTTGGCGCCAACCAGTGTAGGAACTTTGTTATTGGTCCCCCGGATTTACATCCATGTGCCACTGGCTTTGGAACTGTCATCAGAGAGAGAGAGAGAGAAGAAAAAAAAACACAAAAAACTAACAACAATCTTATTAATTAGATATGTTTTCTTTTTGTCTTCAGCCCTTTGGCCTAATTTTAAAGGCATACATCCTTGGATATTGACGGGATTCCTGTGTGACAGAATTGCTTGAATTTTCTTTTTTTTTTTTAGCACACAAAGTTAGAAATTGAAACAAGTCGGTGTACAGTTAAATAGTGCTGCCCTTCATATCTGACTGGAGGACTGATGGGAGTGTGTGAATGCGTTACCCCTCGCGGCGAGCCAAGTTTTGGTAATTAGAGAAGCCTCAGAGCGCTCCATCTCCCCTCTGGCGCAGATTTTGTTGTTTCCAGAGGTATAAACTGGGGGGGAAACTGGATTTTTCTCATTAAAAGAAACAAGCCTGGAGTTAGTTCAATTACATGAAGTATGCAGGGATGTTGTAAATTTAAAGATTTAAATAGCTTACAAAGTGGCCCCCGGCCCCATCAGTTAATTTCCTTAATTTATGGATTTTATCGGTGTCTGTGTGGAAGAAGTAGGTCATCTTGGGTATTTGCATGCATCTTTGAGATTTTCACGTGAAAACCGAACAGCTGTCCTTCTGACCAACACGTCAGCAGGTGGGAGGCCTGAGAGCTAACTCTTTAACTGACTAAAATATCGGGGTTAAACATATTTCTCTTCGTCTTCAGGGATCGGGAATTGTGATCTGATTGGGTAATTATTGATCTGACATAACAGTAATATTCTGTTTTTCTTTAAAGGAAGGTTCGTGTTAAAAAAACAAATAAACAAAAAAAATTAACGAAAAAGAAAACAAATCACCATTTAAAATGTTTACCCTCTTAAAATCTATGGACACCAAATTAATACTGATCTCCGCTTAATTCTGAATAATCAGGTTTGAGCTGGGAGATACTGCATAAATGAGTTAAAACTTCAGTCTCCTTCTGACATCGTATGCTAATGAAGTTTATGAATTAATGCATGACCCTGTAAGAATAATAACTTTGCCTCCAGGTTCAAAAGCAGGTGCTATTAGTGGCAATGCTTAAAGTGGCACACAGGACAATAGTGTGTCAGTCTCTGCTTCCAGCTTTGTCCTTTTTTGCAAAGGATGACTGAAGTGTTCCTACTTTATCAGTCAAACTTTTAACAATACACGTTTGGTCGATGCTCCGTTCGTTTACTCAGTCTTAAATTAATTTCTTATTATTTAAGAGATCATTAGGTCATCTATTGGTGAAACATACATACATGTTTTTATGGACCTAAGTTAAAATACAAGCCTGTCTTTTTTTTTGTGACCTCATATTACTGGTGGTTAAGAAGTAGATGTAACATAGTACCATCTGCTGGTTCAGAGGGACAATGTGCACAAACAGTCCTAATCTGCATCCATTGTGCTGCTCATTGATGCACTTTCTGGAGTTTTGACCTATTTGGAATAATAGCCGAGGTCAGAAGGAATTCCAATTTGTTATCATCATTATTATTATACTACATGAAGGAATTTGGCCGATGGATGTCCTTTTCAGAGCCCAATCGTCCCAAATACTGTACACACTGAGGTGAAAACAGTAGGTACATTACAGTCACATCTGCCCCTCTTAAAGCGTGAGCATTTGCAAGAATCTCTTTCAAGCATTTCAGATCAGATCAACACTTCGACTTCCCCCTCTGGCGTGTGGAGAAAGTTTGAAAAGAACATTCAGAACTTGCTTTTAGTAATCTGCATGCCTCGTGGAACCCGGCTGCTGTCAATCGCTCCGTTCTTCCAGCCATTTGACATTCTGCTTGATGTCGGTGTGCGTCTGAGGTGCAGCAGCGACACTTATTGTTCATTATTTCAGAGAGAGAGGAAGGGAGAGGGAGCGAGGGGGTAATAGGGTGTCAGTTTATTAATAGAACATATGGGTTGTGCTGCACACAAACACCTAACAAGCACAGTGCAGAATTCCCTCAAGTGCTTAAGGCCAGCAATTAGGTTTCCGAAAAAGCTGAGCACAAAGGGAATGTTTACTCTCTGCGTGTCTTCTGAGAGTTGCTGTTATGAGTCAATTTCACTTTAACAGGTAAAACTGCAATTACCCTGATGCCGCCAAGTTATCTCTATTTAGAAGGTTGTGTGATTGGTTGAGACGTTTCGTAAATATTAACCAACAGGGAGATAGTGCGGTGCCCATATGATTAAGTCTGCGCCTTAAAAAGCAGGTTCCAGTCACAGCAGTAGGTCTGACTCAGGTACTAACAGAGGTTTTTGAAGTGAATCGTTAGCTGCTTTCATACTTCCACCGCCCAGGACTCTGAGAGACAATCATTTTATTTTATTCATCAAAAGATTTGTTTTCCATTTCAACATTTCACAAACCCAGAAGTAAATTGATCATCACTGTAATGTTGGACAAGGCTCCAGCTGTCACTGCAGATTCATTTTTTTAAGTACCACTTTTCAATCAAGAAAAATGGCCTTGACACTTTCACAAACTGCACGTGCATAGAAAGTTGGGAAAAGTCCAACAGAGAATAGAACATAGGATGTATCACAAGTGCATGTCTTCGCTCATCACACAGCCATGCCAATACTTCTACTTCTTTTTTGCAAGTCATGTCCTGTTTTCCCTTTCTTTGCTTTACTTTTCTCAGAATAAAGCTCATTAAAATTTGGGCAAGTCTATCAGATCTGTCCAAAGAATCTCTTCTGCTGCCATCAAGTGGTCCGACGCTCTAATCACAGAAAAATATCTGAGCTGTGATGAAGCGAGCATTTTTCATCAATTTTGGAGGAAGACTATCTGCCTCTTCTGACAGAATCGCACTTGTGAGAGCACGGTTGCATCAGAAAGTGTGAATGTCATGGAAACTTTGACAAAATGCCAAGTAATTTAGCATTTTCTCCGCATTCTCGGTCCTTTGTCGGGGGGGGAGAGGTGATAACGTGACTTTGTTTTGCGTCATCTGTCGCATTCGTCACAAACTCTCTTCCTTTCAAAGTGTAATCCTCTCTGAAGTTCTTTGTAAAAAAAAAAAAAAAAAGAAGAATCTTCTGAAATGTGTTATTCTGCTCCTGGCTCTCATAGAATCATCCCCTTGAATGTGTGAACAGGGGAACATTTATCTTTTGCTTTTGTTGCTTCTAATGTTTGGTTAGCAGTAACAACGTGAGCAGTGTGATGTCTCCAATCACATCTGGTATGCATCACGTACCATTCCTCCCCGCTCACTGTGCCTTGGGCTGAGTCCCTGGCACCGCCGAGCACCCACAGTCCTCATTAGAGAGCATGTGTCACGACGGCATCAACCGGCAGCCTTGACGTATGCTTTTGTATTTACGATCCTCCATCACAGCGCTGTCATCGCGACGGTCAGAAAAACATGGATTTAGTCTTGAACGGTCGGAGCTGATGTTTGTAAGCTGTGGTACGCGCAGAACTCCCGAGGGCCTTTTTTTTTTTTCTGTCTGTGGCCATGTTGTTGAGTCTTGCAAACGGCCCGATCCTTAAACTGGAGTCCCTGTCCTTTTTGTTGCACACTGAGCCCCCTAACAGCACAGAGGAGGGACGGGGTTTGATGTGTCTTCTGAAGGCCTGCTGCTTTGTCAACACTGAGGCCCCTGCACTGACACTATGGAAGCCGAGCGCCCCCGGGGGGGACAGGGGATGGGAGGGGAGGGGTAGGTGTGGGAGGGGAGGGTGGGTCTCTGCAAAAGAGAGACAGACAGAGGAAAAGAGAGTAGAGAGGCAAAGGGGGGAGGGTGACTGCTAGTGCGGCCAGAGCCCCAGGCCAGAGCAGAGTGCTCTGTACAGCACACTGCCTGATAGGGACTCGGGCTTCTGGCTGATGACATTTTATGGTCACAACATGCAATCCCACCAAGTTTAGTTGGTAAAAAATCCAGTTTTCATACGCTGAAAAGTACATTCTTTTGTTGTTTTGTTTTGTTTTTTTGTTCAAGTCAGACAAAAATGATACACTTCTGCGTGTCTTCCATTCCTTTTCAGTTTGAGTTGGTTAGCAGTAAACACAATGGTGGGTGGGGAATATTCTCTGTAAAAATCCTACCATGTGGGGGCATAATGAGATATTTCACAACAATGATGTGGCTTATGTTTCTTTTCAAAAAGAGCTTTGGAATTTCTCTATATGTGTTTCTTAAATTTTGCTCAGCTCAATGAATACTCAAAAGAAGATTTAAATCTATTTAGAGGCACATATTTTTGTGACTTGTTCTTTGCATCAGTATTACTTTGTAATTCACAAGTCACAATCACAATTGACTTGCTTACATCTTAGAAGGCCCACGGAAGTAAGCTTACTTAATTTTTGGTTTGCTTGTGCCTTTTCTAATGATTCCACAATCAGTTTATACTGCAGAGAAAGTCTTTTCTTAACCCGTCCCAAAAACAAGTCCTTAATGTAGATAAAGAGAATGCATTAATAAAAATGAGACATACAGTGGATAGAGTAATTTGAGGAAAACCTGCATATGTGAGTATCAACAGTGGCAATGGGTGTTTGTATGTCTTAAAAAAAAAAGAAATATATTTATACGAGCTGTTGATCAGTTCAGCACATCAACCTGGTGGAGTTAAATTTTTTCGTTTATACAGTTTGGCTTTTACACTTGGGAGTTGGTGGGTTTGCACATGTGAACTGCTCATCTAAGCTCCATCTTCAAAATTTCAGTTTTATCAAAGCACTTCTTCCACAAAATCATATTTCATGGCATAGGGACGTTTGCACTACAATTCTTTTCTTGCAGAAGGAGCTGCTTTGGTTTGAGAAAGAGCTTAACAAATGATACATTGTCATTCGAAACACTGATAGAATCCAAAATTCATTGTAAAAAAAAAAGAACTAGAAATTCTGGATCATGTACAGCAAAGCAGGCCCAAACCATGATACTACCATCACTATTTTTTGTAGATTTAACATCTCAGCTAATCCAAAAGACAGTGTCCTGGCCTCATATGTCCACTGAACCTTTTTCTGACATCTTCTGGGGTTGGTCAAAAAGCAAACCTAAGCAAATCTAAGCCTAACCCTAACCCTAGAGGCAATAATGTTATTTATGCTTTCCCTTGCAGCTTTGCCACCTATACAAAAAATGTGAAAGAGGCCTGTATGCAAGTTACCATGCTTTTTGACCTCACAGACTGTGACTATTACATGTTGTTGTTAAAGCTTTTAACAGCTTCACTCGCGATGAGGAAGTCCTACACCGCCTTGTATTTGCACATGATCTATTGAAGTCTGAATTATATGTGATTGTTGTCGACAGTTAAGCATTCAGTGTCCAAGATCTATTCAAGCAGCAT